GTAGATAAGTTATCTATGGAAATATCCGTAGATAAGTTATCTACGGAAATTTCCGTAGATAACTTATCTACGAAAATTTTCGTAGATAACTTATCTACGGAAATTTCCGTAGATATTCAATAATCAATGTTTATGTGCAGGAATTGAGGTGAACGTAGGTGGCAAGCCTTCTGATAAAAGGCTAACCGACACAGATAATCAAGGTGAAGTAGCAAATTCTAAAGCCATATCCAGTGGCCAAAAAACCTATACCTACTCCAGTGATTAAGAAGCTCTTAGAATGTTAGTTATGGGTTTAACTCAACCTTATAAAACCGGTTTGTAAGGTGAGGGTTATCTCTCACTTATATACTCTTTAATTGTTTTATGTCTAATCGATGTAGGACTTAAATTTTTTCCAATATACTCCCTCACACCCAACATTATTAGGCTTGGTGTGTATATCAATGGTAGGTGACTCACCTTATAAAACCGGCTTGTAAGGTGAGGGTTGCCTCTCACTTAGATACTCTTTAATTGTTTTATCTCTAATTGATGTAAGACTTAAATTTTTTCCAATACACTCCCTCACACCCAACACTATTAGGCTTGGTGCGTATATCAATGGTAGGTGACTCTTTTTAAAGTGGATTTAGATAGCTCTAATACTATCTTAGAATAGTGAGTTTGGCCCTAACTAAATCCTATAATGTCGGGGATTGTCTCCCACTTATATATTCTTTAATTATCTTATCTCTGATCGATGTGAGACTTGATCTTTTTCTAATACACCACCTCACATCCAACGCTATTGAACTTGGTAAGTGGATAAATGATGGGTGACTCTTTTTAATAATCTACGATAGGCAACACTTGAATTTTTCCTAACAGAATCCTATACCAAAGCCAATTTCAGGTGTTAAGGAAATATTAAAAATGCCTCAACCTATTTCAGTAATTAAGCCTGTTCCAATTGTTAAGCCAATTCCTATCCCAGTGCTGAAGCCATTTCCAACGGTGAAAAAGCCTCTAGACATTCCAGTAATTGAGCCTATACCAAAAGCAGTTCCAATTGTTAAGCCAATTCTCAACCCAAAGAATGGTGACTGAAAACATTGAATCATTGATTAATGTTTTCCAAATGACTCAATACAAATTTGATTTGCCACATAAAAAAAAAGGAGTAATAGGGTAAAATCAGAATCATCATGGCACAAACAACACACAGCTACAAGTTTAAAATTTAGAGGGCAACCAAATTAGTGAAGATGTGAACCTGCTAATGCTAAGATGCGTGCGAGTGTGAAATGCGGGGCAGCGGAGGTGTTTGTGGTTGCGCCAACAACAGCGAAGCCCAGGAGTAAGTCTCGTTCGTCGTGTTTCACTAGAGCCTCGTCTCCTCTTCCCTCCTCGTTCTTTTCTTTTTTAAATGTTTCGAAATAAAAACATGTCGTTTTATATTTATATATGCCGCATTTCGAGAACAATTTGTGGGTCATACCCTTTTTTTTTATAGTCGTTTTGTCAGAATTTGTTGTTTTTTTTTTCATTGTCATTTTACTAAAATCAATGACTTATTAATTTTTTCTCTTCATTTTTACCCTTAATAATTAATACATGTTTACTGAACAATGTGTGTATTTATTTTTAATGTCTACTTATTTTTTCCCCAAACCCATATAAAAAAAAACGGAGGGAGTAATATTTGACACTTCCTATCTTAGATATATTTATTATTTTTAATTAATTCTATCATAAATTTAAATTTTATTTTAAATATATTTTTTATTTTGAATATTATTATATTTAATATCAGTTATAATTATAATGTATGGAAAATAAAGTTAATAATGAACAAAATATAAGAGAAATTTAACTTATGTAACTTCATAAACTAATGATTATTAATTATAATTAAAATTAAAAAAAATATTTGTTATTTATAATTAAGAATAAAGATAGTGTTATAATACAATATTATTTTTTTTATAAATACACAGTATTTATAAATACACAGTATTTATAAATATTTTTAATTAGTATTCTAATTTCTTTTTATAAAAAGTTTAAATTAGATTTAGACATGACTCATATGAGATCAAAGTCAACCATTAACTTTTTCGAGGATTTGCAATGAGAGAAATGACAATGAATAAGTTCTTGATAGGATTTTATGGTACTTATCCTCGTATATGCGTTTAAAAATTATATATGTACTCAGGTCTACATTTACGAAGATAACAATTTTGATCTTTATCTTTGTATCTACTATTGTTTAGTACCTAGACACTTATATTTGTATTTGTAACTCGCACTTTACTTATATAGGGTTAATAATAATAAACTAATAAAAAATAATTAAAACAATTACTGCAATGGGAGGAGATATCCACCAAATCAAAGGGAGAAGATGTTCAAATTTCTTCTAATTTCCTTTGGCTTTCCTTGTGTTAGGGTTTAGGATTCTTTTGTGTTTTTCTTTGTGTTTTATTTTTCTCTTTTTTGATTTTATAAAACTATGTTCTTTCTGTTATGTTATCTGAAATGAAATATATTTTTGTGTTATTTTTATCACTTTTGTTTTAACCATGTTTGTTTTCAGGGGGAGTCCTTTATGTTTGAATAATATGCTCTGATACCTTAGTCTGTCAAACACAATAATGTCTAGCTAAAATGACTAAGTAAATATGATAGACCAAATGTCATAAGAAGAAATCAGACCACAGTCAAAGTTGCCCACATGACTTCTATCATCTTGGATATGTATATCTCACATCAGTATGATAATTTTTAATTGGACATCTCTTATAGACTCTTTTCGAAATATGAACACTCGTTTCGTCTTATTAGAAAAAGAAAATTACTTTCAAAGGAAAAAGCTTAGTATATCTTTTTAAAGGTGTTTGTTACTATCAAAAATGGGGAGATTATTAAATAAAAAATCTTGTTTTAAGACTACAAACGATCCCTTAAGTTTTAATGATAACAAACAAAAAGATTTTCTATAAGTAAATGAAAGCATTCTTCAAAGATAAAACATATCAGACGAAATGTGAAGATGACACATCATCTGTAAGATAATAGAAATCAAACGAAGCATATCATTCGCTTGACTGACATTAAATGAACATTATTTTATACGATTGACACTGCACTTCATTTAATGTGATATTCCTCAATAGATTAAGTAAAAAGGAGC